AACAAGGCAACTTGAACTAAACATGGCAACCATTAAATGACAGTTTGATCAACCAAGATATTTAAATATTAAGAAAAAGTAATGACTGCAAATGATAAGAGACTTCAGAAAAAAATGAGGATAAGACCAAATCCATACCTTTCTTCCAAGGGATAAAGGCATCCACTTGTCAATTCGACCATGTTTGCCTGATAGGAAGCTACGGCGATAGGAAAAAGACAGCAATTTAGGAAATCTTCGTGCCAAGAAATACATTAATTTTCTTTTTGGTAACCACCCCTCCCAAGTTCTTTTCATTTCCTCTTTTGTCATGCTTGGCTCATATGGACTAACCATAGGGGCCAACAGCGCAGCACCTGTAAGATTTAGTAAAGATGCATCAATACAAGTAAATTTTAATAACTATTAGTAATGCAAGAGATTTGCAAGGATCTAAACCAGATGGCACAGTGCTACACTCATTTTCATTTAAAAAAACACCCAAAAGGTGCAAGCGGCACATCTTAAAGATAGGCCAGAAAATGATGATCCTCATTATCACAATAATCAAGCATCACTTCCACCTTCCATACGAAACATGCATCACAAGGAAAGATTAGTGGAACATCTTCTATTTATTTTCGAATTATGGTTTCCAATTTCACATCCAGATACCCATATCTGACATGCACTGATTGTATAGAAGTTGTTTATGATCCTTTAAGGCTGAATCCACTTTTCATTTCCATGTTTCAGATTGGAATTTTGGTCCTCACTTGGTTGTGCTGTTGTTGTGGATATTGCCATCATATTGTCAAAATATGAGGCCATGGGTATTATCCACATAACTTTAAGAAAAAACTATGACAGTGATTAGTTACAAATTATAAGGAACAGCATCTCCAAGGAATTCAAGGTGGCATTATTGTTATCATTAAAAGTGCCCACAGTAATTAAAACAAGATTATAAAGTTATAGAAGTGTCCAATAGTAATCAAAACAAAACTGTAAAATTCAGCCCAAAAAAGCTTAAGCTACCTACCTGCAATTCTGTCAGGAATATATCTCAGTGCAGCCCAAGTATGCATACTTCCACTTGAGTAACCCAGCACCCAGAATTTATCATTAACACCAACAGCATCAGCTAGATACAGCATATCAAACGCAGATGAATTAAGATTCCTGCTAGGATGAGGATCACTCTCCCCAAATCCAGGAAGATCAAATGTGACCAATCGAACACCAAACTCTTCAAGCAGTGATGTTTTAACTCCTGGAATACCTGTTTCCAAAAAAGGACATTAAAACCAACTAACAAGTCTATAGTTGTTACAGGATTTCCCTAAATAGAAAACTTTTCAGCATTGATTTTCTACCTGCAAGCCGGGAAGAGAGAAAAGAATGAGGAGAAATTAGGGAAAATCTTGAACTGTTTGCCGGAACACCTAATTCACGGTAAGCCATGCGTCTCCCATCTGGAAGGAGTATGTGACTTGCGCTAGGAGGATGAATGCGCACCTTCTTCACAGGCAGTACCAAGCTATCGTTCCCACCATTCAAATTCAATGCTGCGAATTGCTCAACAGGGAATCAGGGATAATTAAAATGTTCTCAGTTTGAAAACTACGAAGTAATTAGAGAAATGATTTGATAACCTTGAAAACTAGAGCACAGTGATGAAATCTATACCTATTAGCGCGAGGATGAAAACGAAGAAGATCACCGGCCAGGCGTGAACAGGATCGCGATCCTCCGGCAAGAATTCATTCAAGAATCTCAATCGACCGGAGACCTTAGCCACGGGACCTCCCAGCTTCTGCACGATAAACGAATCCTCCGTGACCACCGTCTGTTGCAAAATGTCCCTACATCCTCTCCCCAGCTCCATAACCATCTCGCACCACGATTTCAAGAATTCCGTGACCTGATCCTTCAAACTCTCAGATTCCACTCCATCTCTGTCAACCACCTCCGATTCACTCGCACCGAAGGCCGGCGACGAGATTCCCATAGGCTCCCCCGCGTACTTTATCCCTGTGTCTTCCACCAGACTCGCCAGCTCCTCCGTCCACGCGCTCGCTCCGCTCACTTCCTCCATTTCTACTGTCAACTCCCAATCACCAATCTCTACAAAAACCACCAAACAATCCTCAGCTCCAACCAGAGAATTCAGAGTAATGATTTTGCTTTTGATTACAAATTAAGAAAAAGAACAAACAGATCAATGATTCAAAGTAAATCAAAACAGAAACCAAACCAGAACCAAAACCTTTTCCAGCGTGACGTTCAACATCTCATTTGTTTAATCCATAAGAACCCTAACCGACAACCGCTAAACCGAATCAAAATCCCTTAAAAAAGACTTAGAAAAATAGAAAAAAAAGCCAAAAGCATCTCTCGCTCTGGAGAGTATCCCCTTTTCACTTTCCGACACATACAGCGACACAGAAACCGTTGGTTCTGACGATAACCTGACCCCAATTTTCCTTTATATTATCCTAACGCAAGTCTCAACTTTTTCTGAAAATGACTATTAACCAATCCTCGCCGTCGGTGAGATAGTATTTATTTACCTTTTCGCCGGTGCAACGAACGGTGACCGGAGGAAGTTTTGAGAATGAGAACGGGGGACGGGGATGAGGTCAGTGTTGAGGATTTGACGGTGTAAATATAGATGATGAGTCCACGTGGGGGGGAGTGGTGCGCCCGGTGCCGTGAGGTTAACGGTTGGTAACCGGTTGAAGCGGTTGCGTGTCTGACGGCTGCGAGCGCTGTGCACCTGATATTGCCGGTTGGAGTACGAGCGATACAGAGTCGGTGCATGTGACTTGGGGAATGTTCTTCTAGATCATTTCACTCAGTAATATTTTAGTAACACTGGATGAGGTTTGTGTTCTTTATAAATCTTATCCGTTGATTGTTGAATCAGATTTTGTGAAGATCGGTTTTGATCTAATCGGACGGGGGAGGTGGTGATAAGGGTGTGCTCGTGGGTGTGATGTTGATGGATGGTACAAAAGTTGGGGGTGGGAATGGATGAGAATGATGGCAGTAGTGGAATTCAAAAACGATGATGCAGAGAAATTTGGCTTGTTATTTACATTTGTTCCCCACCTTTTTTACTTTTTCATTGTGGTCCCCCCCGCCTTTACCTAACTAGACTGGCACCGTTTTGCTTTGCTAGTTTCTACACTCTTCACTGGAGTTGGAAAAGAATCAATCATGACTCTTGACTCTTAAGCAACAAGAAAAGGTTTTAGTTTTTGTTTGGT